AGCCATGAACGACAACGTAGGTACAACATATAATACATCCACTAGAATACAAGCGTGATAAAAACAACCCTGAAACCCCAAACCCTAAAACCCTGAAACCCCAAACCCTTTAAACCCTAAAAGATCCTATCCGAGCAGCGGCAGAAAAGAGCCAGCGCCGCCGCGCCAAGGCAACGAGCTCGGAGCGACATGGCGCTCTTTTTTGGGTTTAGGGTTTCGGGTTCAGGGCTTCGGGTTTATAAGGGCTTAAGTTTAAGATAGGAATTCAGGGTTTAGGGTTTAGGGTTTAAGATAGGAATTTAGGGTTTTAGGGCTCTTTATGGGTTTAGGGTTTAGGGTTTTCGGGTATAATTTAGGAATTTAGGGTTTTAGGGTTTCGGGCTTCAGATAGGAATTTAGGGTTTTAGGGCTCTTTATGGGTTTAGGGTTTAGGGTTTCGGGTATAATTTAGGAATTTAGGGTTTTACGGTTTCTGGGTTTAGGGTTTCGGGTTTAAATTAGGAATTTAGGGTTTTAGGGTTCTGGGTTTAGGGTTTCGGGTTTAAATTAGGAATTTAGGGTTTTAGGGTTCAGGGTTTAAGGTTTAGGGTTTGGGGTTTCGGGTTTAGGGTAGGAATTTGGGGCTTTAGGGTTCAGGATTTCGGGCTGTAGGGTCTTCAGGTTTAGATTTATGTAAAGTGCTTAAGTGTATAGAAGTTTAGTAGGTTCGGGTTGTGGGGTTTAGGGTTTTGGGTTTTTGGTACGGGGTTCTTGAGTTCAGGGTTTAGATAAAGGTGGTAGCACTTACTTGCTGGGTTTTGTATGGGTTCGTAGTTTGTTGTTTATACAAGGCCCCTCCATGGATTTGTGTTGGTGGGCTTCTTGAGGTTGCAGGTGTAGGGGTTTTGGGGTGTCAGGTTTATGGGGGTTTGGAGTGCAGCGCTCAGGGATTTTAGGGTTGGGTTTGGGGATTTCAGGGTCGTCTAGCTGAGTCTAGCTACTTGTCCAGCTTTCTAGCGCGACTGAGCTTAAGCTGCGGGGACCAGCTGGGATTCTACGCCACTCCAACAGGCTCAAGGCCCCTTAGAAAGCCCTAAACTCTAAAGCCCAAGCCCTAAATCCTAAGTTTCAGCATTCCATGACTCGGAGTCGGCCGGAGTTCGCTTGCCGTGTTTGTGATCGCCCGCACACCCTAAAGTCCTAAAGCCCTTGAACTCGTAATCCCTGAACCTTGAAGCCTCCCCCAAAAAACCTTAAACCCTAAACGCTCAAACCCTAAACCTGAGATCCTGAAACCTGAACGAACACGGTTCGATGAAGGATGAGTCCGTCAAAGCCAGTGAGAAGCAAAAACGGGGGCGCAGGCCCCCAGTGGCTCTGCAACGACTGCGCACCGGAAGTGCTCGCTTGGCGATGTGCACTGTGGACCTTTTTGAAGCTGAGATATCTTCCTTAGGGTTTAGGGTTTAGGGTTTAGGGGAAAACAGGGCTTTGGAGATTGGATTCAGGCCAGCTTTTGCAATGGACAGACAACCTGAGGGCTTGAACCCACCGTCCCTTCCACAGGCTCTTTTTTCAGCGCATACAACCGCACCTTCGTGTCGTTGCCCCCCGCAGCCAGCACCCCTTCGCGAGACCAGGACACTGCTCTGATGGGTTGCAGGGAGTCACTGAGAACTGACATCAGCTTCAGGTCACGACCATGAGTCACCTTGGCTGACTTCTGAACCCCTCCTAAAAGTTATACTTTCAGCCTCTTTATTAGAGTTCATATAGAAACCCAACAAGTTAAAGTCCTAAGAGCCAACCAGAAGAACACCAAGTCACCTTGTACACGTACACTTTTCCGTTCGCGCTCCCTGCGGCAAGCCTTTCATCAGAAAATGCCACAGAGAGGACAGCTTCCTGGGCATCATTGCGGCTCTTCCGTCTGTACGAATCTCTCTGGAACAACGACACTCTCCCATCAGCACTCCCAGACGCCAGGTACTTTGCTGACAAAGCCACTGCTTTGACGTGCAGGACGAATGTGTCCAACGAAGACAGCCGCTTTGGGTGCGAATACAGACGGACATGCGAGTCCGTGCTCGCTGCAGCAATCCCCGTTTCAAAGCACGCAAGAGACGTAACTTGTGTAAGTTTCAAGGATGGCAGAGAGGTCATCGTGGTCAGCCTGTCTTTTCCATCAACCTCTTCAAGCTTCAATAGATCCAATCTCCCGGTGCGGCTGCCAGCAACCAGGGTTTCACCACACCACGCCACCCCTGTTACAAAGGTGGAGTCGGTGGAGTCTCGAACTGCCCGCAACTCCAAGTTCTTAAAGAAACGGAAATACACCAGAATCTTGCCATCAGCAGTGCTAACCGCCAGATTCTTCGCCTCAGGCGACGCTACCAGTGAGACGATGTAAGCCTTCTCGCTTTGCTCTGCTCGCAGCCAATAATGTGCATAGTCTTGTTTGAAGAGCTTCTCGTACACCCGCAAGTTGCCGTCGTCACCTGCAGTTGCCAGGTACTCATGATCGCGATGAAGGTTACCAGAAGCAAAGACCACTGCGTTGATCGTTCCTTTTGCCTCATTCAAGGTCTGAATGAGCCCATACTCTTCATTCTCGGGCCAGGCAGAACGCTCCAGCTTCAGCACCCCAGCTTCTTGGCAGTGGCGCAACACATCCGCGCGCCCCTCCGGCTCACCCGGGGCCTCACGAAAGCAGAGCCTGACTCCCGGCCACTCAGAGACTCTGTAAGGAAGCAGCACCCCAAAGATCGACGTCTCGCTGGTGCTTTGGTTCAAAATAACCACGGACTCGGAGTCCGCTGGGGCATGACCGCACGCAAAGCGGGCGGACTGGGCCAAAAGACTGTCCCCAAGGCCCAGGAATTCACCCTCCAGCTTCACTGTCAACAAGGGCCCATCCTGGATTGCTTGCGTGTCGCTGCTCGTGCGGCTTTTGTCCACTTTTCCATAGCCACGGAGCGGGCATTCAGCATTCACTGCAAGCCGTTTGCCAGAAGATTTCCGGATATCGGCAGCTGCGTGCACTGCATCCAGCAACTCCACCAGGTTCATGGGCGTGGAATACGGCGGTAGGCGGTGGACCATGGGAGCAGATAGCGGGACAGGGAGCTTCTCCTCTAAGTACATGGGGTTCATGTCCACGATGCGAACCTTCAGGCTCCTACTGATAAGTCCCATTGCTCGGTCTGCCACCATCTCCCATGCCTCCTGCATGAATTCCTGCTCCTCCGCAAGCAGAAAGGCCCTGAACTCCTCGATCCACTTGCTCATTAGCTGCTCTTGAGAGGCATACGGCATCCACGGAACGAAATTTACGATGACGTGCAGCTTCCCAAGAAATTGGGAGCCGAATGCTTTCCTGTACTGTTGCAACATGTATCGGCGGATGCCCAGCTTGCGGCGAATGGCGCCGTTGACAACCCAGAAAATGGCATCCAGCCCTTCTGTATCAGCCAAGTAGTTGATGGTTTCGCTGAACTGTCTCTCGTCCACGGCCGGGCCCTCCGTGTCACCAAAGCCGGGAATGTCGAAGACGTTCAAGCGAGGCTGCAACTCATCTCCGAAGGCGTGGCCACAAATCTCAGAGACATTTTTCGTGTGAGAACTCCAGCTGTTGGAGTACCTGCACGACTCATTCATCGTCAAGAAGCGACATGCAGACGACTTGCCTGCCCCGGTGAGTCCAGTCAACAGGATGTTCGTCTGCTCCAGATCCCTTCTCTTCTGGTGACGCCTGTAAAAGTCGTAGGTCTCTCTAAGCAGGGAGTTCCTTGGTTCCTAAGTAGCCTCTTTATAATGAGGGTACCCTTTTTCCTACTATTCGGTCTTAGTAAGGGGGCCCTCCCTAAACACTAAACCCTAAACCCTAAACCCCAAACCCTAAGAGTACTACTCAGCGACCTGGGTTCCTGGCCCGTCGGAGACTCGCTACCTCCGGCGTCGCGTCCAGCTTCCGCTGAAGGTCCACAACCTCCTGGAGATGAAACCTTGGGTTTTTCCCGGTTTAGGGTTTAGGGTTGAGGGCTCTGGCTTTGGGGTTTAGGGCTTAGGGGTTTAGGGTTTGGGGTTTGGGGCTTAGGGTTTAGGGGTTTAGGGTTTAGGTTTTAGGGAAAAGCCCTCAAAAGTAAGGGTCCAGGGTCCAGGGTGGACGGGCCGGGTTTTGGGTTCTAGGGTTTCCAGACACCTCAAAAAAGATCCTTACTTGGAGGTTCTTGGGTAGTCATAAGTGGAGGTATCAGTCCCCTAATATAGGTGATAGCTACAGCAACCCACTCACCTGTAACCCTACTTGTAACTACCCATGAACCTCCGGTATAAGCCCCCCTCAAAAGTAAGATCTAGGGTTGGGGTTAAGGCTTCAGGATCTATAACCCTAAACCCTAAACCCGTCTACAAGGCGGGTTGCGGGCCCTGGGTGTTCCCCGCAAAACTTGACTTTCAATCAGCAAACTCCCCAGGAAAAAGTCAAGGGTTACTACTTGGAGGTTCATGGGTGGCTATAAGTAGGGATCCTATGGGTGCTATAAGGGGGTATACGGGGTACTACTTGGAGGTTCATCGGTAGTTATAAGTAGGGTTATAAGTAGGGTAACTATAGTTATAACTTATATTCCGGGACTTATAACTCCATGTAGAACTACCCATGAAGCTCCAAATAAGTACTGGCAGACCTGGAAACAGCTCCGAGTTCCGAACCTCCAACATCAGCCGCAGGGGTTTCTCCAGCCGCTCTGTGCCAAACTTCATCGACAACTCCGCCGAGAGATCACAGGCCTTCCATGCTTCGGGAATTGGTGCTTTCGGAAGGTTAGTTCTTTCGGGCTTTGGGTTGCAATGGTTGCAGGCCTTCGAACACCACTGCTGAAAATCCGAGATCTTACAGGCGATCTGGTCAGCTGAAGAGGCTTTGCAGCCCGGATCTCCGCGTCTGGGGCTGGACCTCGTTGAGAGTATCGAGGTTCGCAGCTCGAAGTCAAAGAAACGCCGGTCGGCCGTGAAATCAAAACTCACAGCCTCCAAGGCCCCTAGGAACCTCTCACTCGCAAATTTCCCCCGGAACGCGGACGGCTGGCCGCTCACGACAGCATTCTTGCTCACCGTCCCAAGCGTGATCTGAACCTTCGGGACATCAACCACGGCCACGTAGACGGTGCGAGTGAAGAATCCACGCAACTTGAAGGAGCTCCGTGTGCCGAAGTTCTCTCGCGACAGCTCCATGGTGAGCTGCTGGGAGTTGAGCCGCATGGTCGCTTTCCTGCGCAGGGGCTTATCAATAATAATAATAATACTACTACTACTACTACTACTAATAATAGCAATAATAATAATAATGATGATAATAATAACAATAATAAAAATAATAGTAATAATTCGCTTTCCTGCGCAGGGGCTCCGAACAGCGGTCGCCTGGGCAAACATAAAAGGAGCTGGCCGTGGATGTGTCCGCAGTCAAGCGCAGCACCACCTGCTTGGAGGTTCATGGGCAGTTATACATGGAGTTATAAGTCCCCTAATATAGGTTATAACTGTAGTTACCCTACTTATAACCCTACTTATAGCTACCCATGAACCTCCAAGTGGTGGCCGGCTGTCGGCCGAAGGGACGGGCTCAGAATGCACATGGGTAGTTTTCTAAAATAGGGTCCCTGTTTAAGGTCCTTTTTTTTCTGGGCGCCGTATTGTATTGGGACCTGAAAAGGGACCCTAATGTAGAGAACTACCCACATCTGGCAAAGAGTGAACCTAAGCTCTGGTCCCTTGCTAACGAAAGCTTCTCAGAGGTTTTCAGCTTCGGCAGCGAAAACTCCAAACACGATCCTTCTGAAGGGTCCCTTGCTGCGGTGATGGTGATGAGTGGAGGAGAAAGTTTCTGTCAGCCCAAAGACATGGTCGACCAAAAACCAAACTGCTCAGTGTGCTGATGGGGTTGGGTGGGAGGAAAGTTGCATGCGGAGACGAGCAGCTCTTTGTCCGTATTGCAACACCTCTCCTCGCGGCGATGGGGCGCATGAGAAAGCTATGGAACGTTGGTGAGCAAAACGCAAGTTGTCGAGACTTTCCGTCATGCCTTTGGATATGGGATTAAAACGGAAGGGGTTCGACAGGAAAGCTTGCAAAAGAATGCTCAAGACATTGAAGTCCAATGTTCTACCATGTCTCAGAAAACGGAGGACAACGCTCAAATAATATGGCGGACAGACACCGTAGCACTCTGCCCAGACCCCCGGGAGATCCAAAAAGCAGATCCCTTAAGGGGGCTCCTATAAGGTACCCTTTAGTAGTTAGGGTCCCAAATTAGGTGATCTACTTTTTAGATCCTCCCAGGGGTCTGGGTGCTTGATTAACCTACCACCACCTGATCTTGACCCTCGTCCGGCACGATCCAGTAGTTCACCTTGCCTTTATCCTCCTCGAAGAAGTTGCCTCCATGAACTTCGAAGTTGTTGATCTGCGGCATGAAAAGCCTCTTGTAGATCTGGAGCATTGCGGCTGGGAGATATGCCAGAAATGCTAGAAAACCGAGAACCAGGAGCAGGTGTACGGGCAGCGCACCACGGCGGTGAGAGATGAGGGCAGGGACTTTTTCTACCAGCGAAGGCAGATCCCCGAAAAACTTGTCAGACACGTCAGGCTCCAGTGCTGGGCTTGAGGCGCTCACCTCGTCGGTTCTGTTGCGAGATGCGAGCTCGATGCCTTCTTCCCTTGACGGTGGACGGACTGTGCGGATCTTCTGGCGTATCCATGCCTGATACCATTGAACCTGCTCGTTGTCCTCTCCGTCCATCATCAGCTGGTAAGTCGGAAGTGGTCGCGCGTTGCGCATGAGCCACTGACATTCATGCCATCGTACCTTTGGCGACCGCACAAGTCCACCCAGGCTCACTAGGTACAGCCCCAGCGGCACCACACGCTGGATACCCTCTAAAGGCACGTCTTTCAAGGGCATCCTTTCAAACACCACACTCTGCCAAAGCTCCACGAGCAGCAATGCCAAGTTCACGAAGGCCAAGAACACGGTAGAAACTCCGATGCGGTTTTGCCTGATGCTTTTGGCAGGGAGTTGGAGCCCGAAACCTTGTGACATGGCTTTGTCAATGGCTATCCGCCGCAAGTAATCTGCGAGCATAAACGATGCGCTCGCGAGCACGGCGCTGCAAGTGAAAGCCGCGATGGCGAGCATGGAAAGCCACAGCATCACAGAGCCGTCTCGGAGAGAGACCTCGCTGAGAGAGCGCTTGAAGGCGATATATTGGAATGCAACAAGGCCGGCAAGGCCAGGAGCGTGGCTGGCTAGTGTCAGGATGGCCAGCTTGTACAACGGCTGCATCTGATACACTCCATTGGCGAAGGCCATGTCGCAAGCCGGCAATCAACTTTTAAAGGAAACTACAGGTGGGGAGTTTAGTGTATATAAGGCTTCTATAAGGCTTCTGGCCTGTGGAAGCAGGACTTCACACGACGGCGCGAATGGTTTTGGATCTTTGCATCTACAAACCTGCTGACTGAGGTGCACATAGTGTGCGGAAGATTCCTTGAAGATTCCTTGTAAATCCTAAACCCTATAAACACCGACCACCCCGAAACCTTAAAACAAAAGTTCCTACTGCAAGCCCTGGTCGTTTAGGGTTTAGGGCTTAAGGGGGTTTACAGGGCCTAGGCCTAGGGTAGGGTTCAAAGTGTCATGGGACCTCGGGGCTTGGACTCATGGAGTAGCTGGAGGAATCAGGGGTTACTCTGGAGGCCTTCATAAGCAGAATTGCGGTCTTTGGGTTCTGCTACAGGTTCTACAGGGGTTCTGCAGGGATGCTCGCTATGGAACAAAACATTCATGACGAAAGCCTAACGATCCCGAATGCCGAGCAGCCCAACTAAAGCAGCCGAAGCCACAATCAGAACCGAGCAAGTTTACACGTGTTGTAACTATGCCAAGCGCAAAATCGTTCGCCAATAAAACATCACATTCACAATACTCATCAGCTGTGCGCCTTGAACTGCTGAATCCCTACAGGTTTAGGGTTTAGGGTTTACTGCAGCATCCGAAACAGGGACTAGGTGATTCCCAAAGGCGACACACTCCAAGGCCTAGATGCATCATGCTGCTTGAGTTCAAGATTTGCCTTGGCAACTTCGAACTCATTTCCGACTTTGCACCGTTGTTCGTACCCCAGGGCTCCCTCTCGGACATCTCCAACCCCTCCAATTTGCAGTCCGACCATAGCCCCAAACGCTGTCACAACCCGACGAGCGTGTGGCTCGTTGGTAATTTCGTAGTTCGTGCGGCTGACCACCATGTTGCCGCCGACACGGAACCTGTGCATGTACTCTACGAGCCATAAGGATCGTTAGTCATTTTGTCCCGATTTCTTGTTCTCAAGGCCGAAGCTTCGATGTTTAGAGCGATGCAAGATTGTTTAAGTTGAAGACCAGTAGTGCTGTTAGCGCTACGACTTTCACTGGGCAGTTTAACCAAACAACAAGGGAGGCTTGAGGCCTAAATCCTGGGAACCCCAACAGCCGAACGGCCTGTTGCCAAACTGACCGCAGAGCTCTAGCCGCGTGTAGCGGCGGCGCCTGGGCTGCGTAGAGAAAGTCTAATTAACCCCACACCCCAAACCCGAAACCAGCGATGCAATGCTTGGAGGACTGGGGGGCTCGGAGGAAGGGGAGGTTGGGAGTGGGCACTTCCATTTAGCTGCGCCTGCATGCTGTAGACCCCTGCATTAATAATCGTCCGGAATGAGGACATACGGAAAACCCTACACCCCTACAAGCGTCATATACAAACAGCACTGAAAGCGGTCGACAGAAACCCTCCTGCTGTGCGCGAAGGGTGCTGAACCTCACACCCTGGACTGTCCTTAGTAATCAGCACAGGTCTTTTCAGGGCTCTGTGTAGGGGCTTCTATAATCAGAATATAGGGCTTTAGGGGCCTGTTTTAGGAGGCAATTGTGCTATAACTACAATCAGGGCCCCCTAAGGCCAAGGAATCTCTTTCCAGCGTCTGTTGGCCCACATGCCCTGTAAAAGATGAGTCCTTAAAGCCATCAAACCCATTCCGATGGAATCCATTTATGGAGGCCTTAAAGGATCTGTGCTGAAAGCCTCGGAGTCATGGCGGCCATGGTGTAGGGTTTACGACTGAGGGTTCTTGGAGGTTCATGGGTAGTTCTAAGTAGGGTTCCTTTAAGGAACCTATAGGGTTTAGGGTTAAGGGGTAGTTATAAGTAGGACAACTTTATACTTATAACCTCCATTAGGGGACTTGTTACTCCACTTGTAACCACCCATAAACCTCCAAGTTTGAAAATACTCCTCAGCCACGGGCGGCGGGCGGATGACCAACTTCCAGACCTTTTGAGGCAGAGATAAGAGCCGAAGCCGTGCATAAAAAGGTACTTTAGGGTTTGGGGTTTAGGGTTTCGGGAAAAAGGTACCTTTAGTGTATGGGTTTCTACGGTGTGTTGCAGGATATTCATAGCCGGTTCCTCCGAGGATTTTTGGTGGGGCTGTTTAGAGGATTTCAGCAGAGGCGTAATTGGGTTTGACGCGGTTTGAGCCGTGATTGGGGCCTGTCATTGTGCACGGGATATTACCACTTTCGGGATTCCGTTTTCGAATTCCTGCCTAAGCCCGGGAAGTGGAGGGAGGGATGCAGGTATGGGAGGCTCCATAAGACCCATTTTTTCATCCTAAACCGTAAATCTTGCACCTGAAGCCCGATAAATCTTACAGCCTGAACCGCAAACCACCAAGATACCCAAAAACCCACACGCGAGCCGAATCCCGACACAGTGGAGACTTAAAGAGAGAGTGGAAGTTGTAACTACGGCACCCTATATGAACCGGTCAACGTTTTGGGTTTAGTGTTTCAGCCTTGAGGCTTAAGGTTCAGGGTTAGGGTTCCAGGTAGGGATTTAGGGTTAAGGGTTTAGGGTTTAGGGGTTCAGGGTTTAGGGTTTAGGAATTAAGGGTTTAGGATTTAGGGTTTAGGATTTAGGATTTAGGGTTCAGGGTTCAGGGCATTCGCAAAACTTCTCAGCCTCAACTCTGAACCACAGTGCAAGCAAGATAATCATACCCCAAAGGCCGCTTAAAGTCTCGGAGTGCGCAGAGCCCCTAGCATATGCCTACCACCAGAGACGGGTTACCCGATCCTCCAAGCCGAAAGTCGGGAGATCTGGACAGAAATCCCTAAACCCTAAACCTTTTTAGGGTTAAGGGTTTTAGGGTTTAGGCAAGACCTGAACCCATGACACAGAAAACCCTAAACCCGTTTAGGGCTTTAGGGCTTAGGGTTTAGGGTTTAGGGAAGACCGGAACCCATGACGGCTTGGCCATGTTAAGTCCATACGTCACTCTCCAAGCATTGAACTTATAAGCCTACCCAGAAGGCCCAGATATACTAGGTGTCTTGAAATTGTAGTTTTAGGTGGTCCGTCGATGCCATTCCCTAGTAGTAGTAGTAGTAGTAGTAGTAGTAGTAGCGGTGGTAGTAGTAGTGGTGGTAGTAGTAGGAGGAGGTCGGCTCTTGGGCTTCGGCCTGAACTCCATCTTAACTCCTCGGGTTGAGGGTCTGGGGTTCCGGTTTGGGGAGTGGGGCTTGGGGTTTTTTAGGTGTCGATTTCAACAGGCCCAAATTTGCTTGTAATTGAGGCTCTAAATTAAACAGTACAATGACTCCGACAGGAAATTATTAAAATATACCAAGTCGACACCTCGTCTAGGGTTCTAGTT